TTCCCATAGCTTCATGGTGGTATGGGTGAGTAGTTTAATACCTCTGTAGTTACCACAACGTTGGGGGTCTCCTTTATTTTTATAAATTGGTATCATCGTAGACTCTCTCCACTCCTCTGGCATCTTGGTAGTCTCTAAAATAATATTAAAGATGTTAGTCAACCACTTAACTCCCTCTTCTCCTAGGGCTAACCACACAGTGATAGGAATTTGATCAGGACCGACAGCTTTCTCCCTTCCCATCTTTCTAAGAGCCATTTTGACTTCCTCAAACCCAATCCTACTTGTAGGGCAGTCATTGGCCGTAGTATGATGGTCTCGGCTGACCCATCAACGATACTATCTCTACATGGAGAGGCACCGTCATTAAATAAGCCAAAGAAGTAACTACCCCAAACCCTCTTAATATCATGATCTTTCATTAAAAGAACACCATTGTTGTCCTTAATAAACCTAATGTTACCTAGATCCTTTTTCCTAATCTCCCTAGATTTTGCAAGTCTAAAGATGTCATTTTGTCCTTCCTTGGTGTCTAATCTCTTGTACATTACCTCATATGCCTTATCCTTTGCTTTAGCTACTGTTTTCTTGGCTTCCCGCTTTGTTTAGCTCTCGACCTTTCTTCGTCATCATTGCATTGTAGAAACTCCTTGAAGCAAGTTTGTTTTGTCTTCACCTTAGTTTGGACTTCGTCGTTCCACCACCATGATTCTTTATGTTCCTTGGCCTTCCCCGTCGACAACCCAAGGGTGTTTTTGCCCACCTCTCTTATGGAATTTGCCATATTTTTCCATAACATATCTGCGTTATTTGAGTTTGTAGATTCAAAACCTGTAGTAGACAAAAGCTTACTCCTAAAGTCATCAGTTGTCGCTCCATGTAAGTTCTTCCAGAGGATCCTAGGTTTACCCAGTTTAGCCCTCCTATGAGTGTTCCGCCCGTTGGGTACGCGGAACACCAAAACCAACAATTTGTGTTGTGATGCACATGCCTCTTCAGGGAACACCTTACACTCAATGCAAGCCCATCATTCCCGATTTCTAACCAAGATGTAGTCGATTTGGGTACAATGTCCCCCGCTATGAAACGTAATCAAGTTCGCATCTCTCTTATTAAATAAGGAGTTAGTGATCACCAAATCGTGAGCAGTAGCAAAATCAAGCAACGTACGCCCCTCATCGTTCCTGCTACCATAACCGAAACCCCCATGAACACCGTCATACCCGTCGGTTGCACTACCTATATGACCATTGAAGTCTCCCCCTATGAAAACTCTTTGGTCCTCCGGAATGCTCCTAAGTACATCATCTAACTGATCCCAGAAGCAACGTTTTTCCCCTCCCCTAGGCCAACGTGTGGGGCATACACTTAAAGGACATTTACCACTTCCGCTTCTATAACAACCTTAATCATCATGATTCTATCTCTGTATCTACAAACTTCAACTACATTTTCCTTGAGCTTAGAGGATACCAAGATACCCACCCCATTTCTAGCGTTATCTACACCTGAATACCACAACTTGTACCCGTTACACTCTCTGGCACGAGCCCCTTTCCACCTAGTCTCCTGAATACATGCAAAATCTATTTTCCTATTACTAAGTACGTCGGTCAGCTCCAGCAGCCTAGCATTTAATGTGCCTACATTCAACGAACAAACTCTAAGTCTAGTATCCTTGACACCACTCTGTCGAGCCCTCCCCCTATACGTCCTATGGGATCTAAAAGAATGACATGACCTCAAGTAATCATCTATAGCCGAAGCTATGAGGGACTATGAAAAAAGAATCCAAAGAAAATAAAAGATGCACCAAATAAAACGCTAGAAATATAAGATACTAGGAGTCTAGGACAATGAAAAAATACAGATCCAGTAAATCCTACTCAAAAGAAAAGTACAAAAATATAGATCTAGTAGATCTTACTCAAAGCAAAACTGTTTTTCAAGTAATTAACAAAATTCTATAGAAGTTTAATTTTTTTTTTAGGTTCCACTTCCTTACCTCTAACAGGAAAGAATAATAATGAAGAGAGAATTACTTAAAAGCCAGAAACAAATCATATAAAGAGCAGAGCCTAAAAGCTAAAAATGAAATGAAAATTCAACGAATTAACCGTCTAGAAACAGATTTGAAACGAAACCTGCAATGGTTTCCAGATCTGAAAAAAAAAGAACAGATTAAGCTGATAAAAAACACATACAAATATATGTCTTAAAGAGGTTATCTAGTATGGTAAGAATTTAAAAACAAAAACAAAACTAGATTAGAAATAAACAAACTCAATGTAAGGGTAATGGAAAAGGAAACACAGATTAAATCCGAGAATAACAAGAGGATAAAGATCTAAAACAGAAAAGGAAAGATGAAGAAAGATGATGGTAAAGGAAAGATCTAGCCTGCGCCGAGATTTACTCAGAGATTCGGTGGAGAGACGAACCGCCCAAGGAAATTGAGAAAGTGGCGTCGTTGAGAGATGGAGACGGTGGCGAGCAGGCCTTAAAAATAATAAGTTGGTCACCAAAATGCTTGATTATTTTAATAAAATTTATAAAAATATTATTAAAATAATACAAAAAGGGTTTGCTTACCAGAAAATGAGTTTGGGAGTCGGTTACGTAAGGGAAAGAATTAACACCCCCACAACGCCCAAAATTGATACATTTATTTATTAATTAATGTATTTGCAGTAAAATTTATAAATTTAATTTAATTTATGATCCCTCTAACAAACATTATAGATACTATTTTATACCAATAATCATTTAAAATACTTTCCTAATCAGTTAAGGAAATATTTTATGACTTATTGTATAAAATAAAATAACCATATTACATATAATAATTTTAATAATTAAAATATGAAAATACTAAAACTTTTTGTTCCTATTAATAAATACTTAATATGAAAAGTACTATAATAGTAAATAATTCTAAAAATAATGTTTAAAATTATTATTTTAAAACTAAAGGATTAAAATTGTAAAATATCAAAATTAAAAATCGAATTCTAAATATCATGAAACCTAAGTATTAATAGTGTAATTTAATCCTAAATGACTATTTGGGATTAAAATATTAATAATTAAAATATCAGGGACTAAATATGTTATTTACCCTAAATATATGTAAATATACATGCAAGACTAAAATAAAATAAAGTAAAATGCGAAAAAAAAATTAAAATACCCAAAAAACCTGATTTAGTTACTAAAATGATAGGCTTACAAATTACAGGAACCACGTGTATATTTGACCCATCTTCGAATTACCCAAATAGTCCCTCCCCAAAACGACGTAGTTTTGAGGAGGGTATAAATACCCCAAATTTAGCCCAAAATGGCCAATTCTTCTCATTTCTTCATTTTACTTCTCTCTCTAAGGAGAGGGAAGCTCTCCCTCCTCTCTAAACTTCCTCACCAAGGGGAGAGTCGGTCACCGGCCGGCCATCGCCCAACCACCGCCCGACCACCGCCGATCACTATTCACCGTGGCCGAAAAATATAAAAATACCCCAAATCGTAGATCAAAACACCCTAAACCTGAAACCACCCTTCTTTCTTCCTAAAAGCCTCTCAATTGTTGTAGATATGAGTTTTATACCTTCGGTTAACAACAGTTTCCGGCGACGTTTGGGCTCCTCGGTAAGTTTCTCTTCCTTCTCTTTTTTTCTTTCGGTTTGATGCTTGTTTGTGGTTGTTCGAATCTCTCTGTTACTCTCTTTTTCCTTTGTGTTTTTCTCTCGATCTTTGTTTGTTTCGATGCTTTCTCTGTGTCTTTCTTTGCTGGTTCGTCAAGGCTCTTTATAGGCCTCGGAAGGATTCCAACAACCGTTCATTCAATGAGTCACCAGATCTATGATGGTGACTCACTATAGAGCAAAGAGGTGTGCAGCTATCCTCGTTTCTTCTGGAGTCTTCGGTGCGACGGAGTAGGAATGGCAGCTTCTGGTTGAAACACCTGGAGGCGGCGCCGGAATAGACCCTAGGGTTTCCGTTGGAACCATATAGACCGTTGGATCTCTCCAGATCCAACAGTTGAGATCTACGACAGTGAAAGATGTGTGAAGAAACCCTAATCGGGTTTTTGGGTTTCTTGGGCCTACTTGTTGGGCTTCCGGGTATGGACCGGGTCTGATCTGTTTTGATTTGTATTTGAGCATTCGGGTTTGAATATGATCTTTACTTGTAAATTGGCCTTCGATTTGTTGTCAATTGGGCCTCCAAACTTGTATCTAATATATAATAATAATAATAATATAAATATTAATAATAATGGTAATATACTAATAATAATAAAAATAAAAAAGCTTGGACGAAAATGATTGTCAACACATTATATCAATCACAAATTATCCAAGATAAGATGGGAAAAATTATTGCACTTTCCTGTAGGTAAAATAATGCATATACCAGTTCCACTTTTGTACACACTCCCAAACCAATACAAAGACTGGTTTACGTTAGAAAGTAGTTCATACGCCAATTACAAGATCAACACACGATAAACTACATGTAGAGAAACAATACATATATTTTCAGAATAAAATTTCCAACCTTTCTTTTACCAACCAAAAAAGATAGAAAAAAAGAAGAAATAATGTCCATGTTTCATTTCTTGTACACTATTCTTCTCTCTTCATATGTACACGGCGACCTTCGTTTGGTGTTTCTCTAGATCTGTACTGGATTCATGCAACCATTAGGGGATGGGATTGTTGATTCTCGTTCGAGCTAATGGCGTCATTTTCTTCTGATATAATCCTTATGGCACATGTATCATGATTCTATTTGCAGTAAGTACATCTTCAGATGATAACTTTTGGTTTATTAGAAATTAAGTTGAATTTAAGATATATATAATTACCAACATAATCTAATTTTATAAAACACAGACGAGATGTAAAGACAAAATAATAACAATATGCATTCAGTTAGCTAAATGACGAAAGCAAAGCCAACAATAACAATTTGCTTTTGATGTGACTGCAAAATCTAAATTTACTAACTTCGAGTCTTTTTTCTTCCTTTTATTGTCGTGCTTAAGAAAAAGGGTTGAAAGTTCCAAGTGATTAGAGTCGACAATTACTCTGATTGTGAAAAAGAAAAACAATGTATGTAGCAATAAAATCTTCAAGAACTAGCTCCACCATTTTGTTTCTTGGCATTTTTTATGATAAAGGCAAACATGAAACTACTGAATTTCACCATCCTCACCAACTTCACCATCTTCGAGATCCTCATAACCGCTGTTTCTACGTGACCCATCACGATCTCTCTTGTGCTTTTTATGCCGGCTTTCACTCTCAGATTCGGGTGAATGAGCATGCTGACAAGGACACGTAGGAAGAGCATTAGGACTTGGTTGGATAAATATACAAACAGTATCATCAGTTGATATGTAGGTAGATATACCTTTCTTGATTTCTTACGGTCGCTGCCATGTCTCCGAGACTTCTTGGACTCCTCTCTATCATCCTTGTCCGAACTCCCATCATCAGCGGTGCTTTGATGACGTTTACGGTGTTGTTTCCTGTCTTTTTCCCTGTCCTTTTTCTTCTCTTCTTTATGGCCATAGCTGTCAGATATATCTAAATTCTCACTGTCTGTCTCATCCTTTTTAGTTCGATCCTTACCCTTTTCCCTTTCACGTTCTCTTTCCTTCTCCTTTCTCTCCTTCTCCTTCCTTTTCTCTTTATCTTCTTTATCTTTCTCCCTTTTAGCCTGAAAACAACAAGATAAACATCTTCTGATTTAGAAGAAACCTACAGTTCTATGCAAAATATGAAATGCAGATCACAGCTCAGGAAAATTAAATGGAAAGCACAAAAAGAAAATCCAATTGTTTAAGTGCTCATACTTGGGATTTAAAACCAACTCAACTTACTTCATAGATATTGAAGGTATTTTATGAATACATGGGATTTTTAACCACCAACTATATTGAAATATTGTTAAAGATTTGCAAACCTTTTCCTCCACTCGTTTTCGCTCCTTATCTTTAGCTTTCTCCTGTAAGTGTGCAATGTATTCCTCAAAGATCTCTCTCCTACTGCTCTCTTCTGCAATTGATCTAACAAAAAGCATGGCAGGAAACCGGGGAGAGAATCTTAAAAGTGAGATGCTTAAGAATGATAAACGGTTTCTCATCTTTAATGGAAAAGATAAGGGTGAAATACCTATATTCTTGGCTTTCTTCAAAAAGTGGTTTGGAATCCTCCCAATTAGAAGATGTCGTTATCTCCTGCAAAGCAGCAGAAGGACCAGAAGTTAAACAAGTTTACAAAAGCTATACTGCCTGTTTGTATTGAAAATACAGTATAACACACCTTATAGGTATGCAATAGTTTAGTGAAGTCATCAGCTAGACGCTGACGTTTTTTAGCCTCTTTCTCCTCCTTCTCCTTGGCTCTCTCAAGTAACTCATCATACACAAGCTGCAAAAGAGTAAAGAATAAACTTTTCAATATTCAGCCACAAGATTTGTGCTCATTTAAACAAACACAAATGGGGGGGGGGTATAATAAATAAACCATCCATATAAACATCCTAACAAACATTGTTCTAAAACCCAAAATCTCTAAACCTGACTAAAAGATAAGGAATTTGGGGTCTAAACCTGACTAAAAGACGAGGAATTTGGGGTCTCAATGAGGATTTTCTCTCAGTTTATTCAGTCTACAGGTTTAATTAATCTGCCTTTGGAGGGGGGCAGGTTCACTTGGTGTAATAACCAAGATGATCCCACTTTTGTTAGATTGGACAGGTTCTTGGTGGATGGTCAATTCTTGGCTACTTTTCCTGAGATTATTCAGTCACTTATACCTAAATCTATCTCAGACCATAATGCTATTTCTCTACATAATGGAGGTACTAATTGGGGAAAAAAGCCTTTTAGACTTTTCAATTATCTGATGGAGGAAGAAGGTTTCGAGGATATGGTCAGTCGAACAATTACAGATTGTAAGAAGCTTAGGAGAAAAGCTGGAATTCTAAGTATTTTGAAGAACTCTAAATTAGCTATCAAAAAATGGGCAGGGAAGAAAAACCAGTTTCCGGGAGCTGCAATATCAGATTTAGAAAAGAAAATTCAAAAGCTAGAGGAGGATGCCCAGCAGTTGCATGGCAGTTCGATTCAGGGGATAGTTGATGAGTTAAGTGTTTGTAGATCATAATTATGGAGACTTCATAGAATTGAGGAACAGATTTGGCATCAAAATTCTAGAAAGAAGTGGGTTAATGAAGGGGATCGAAATACAAGATACTTTCACACTTGTGCCTCAGTTAGGAGAAAGCAAAATGCATTGAATGTTTTAAAAGTTGATGGGAATATTTCTCACGAACCAGCTATTATCAAGACCACGGTTAAAGAGCACTTATTTAAAATATTCAATGATCGGTCTACTTTAGATGTTAAAGATATTGGGCTGACTTTTTCTACAATTTCCTTGGAACAAAGTGTTCTTTTAGAGAAGGAATTTTCCGAGGAGGAAGTTTGGGAGACTTTAAAGTCTTGTGATAGAAACAAAGCTCCGGGGCCTGACGAATTAAATTTGGGATTTTTCAAAAGGTTCTGGTCTGTTTTAAAGGGTAACATTCTGGATTTTTTTCACAAATTCTATTTGGGGAAAGATTGGGAACATGGTATTAACCATACTTTTATCACCCTTATTCCTAAGGGTTCTAACAATGGGAGCCTTGATGATTTTAGACCTATAAGCCTAGTAGGAGTTTACAAGATTTTATCCAAGTGCCTTTCAAGGAGGCTTAGAAGTTGTATAGGAGATATTATCAGCCCGAATCAATTTGCTTTTATACCCGCTCGACAAATTTTGGATTGTTCTCTTATTGCTAACGAGGGTATCGATTATTGGAGGAAGAAAGGACTAAAGGGCTGTGAATTTAAGGTTGATTTCAAGAAGGCTTATGATACAGTTGACTGGCCTATTCTGTTCAAGGTGATGGAAAAGATGGGTTTCGGCTCTACTTGGATCAGTTGGATCAAGAGATGCGTTACTACAGCTTCGATTTCGGTGTTAGTCAATGGGGTTCCATCGGAGGAGTTTCCAATGGCCAAGGCCTTCGACAAGGCTATTCACTCTCACCCTTATTATTTAATCTAGTACGGGAATTGCTGAATTTATTAATCCTAAGGGCTGTTTCTGAGGGATTATTTTCTGGTATGACAGTTGGAAAGGAGGAAGGGTCTTTTAATCTTATACATTTGCATTTTGCGGATGACTTAATCATTTTTTGTGGAGCTTCACAGACTTAGATTATGAATGTGAAGAGGGTGCTTAGAGTATTTGAGGTTATATTAGGGCTACAACTAAACCTCAAGAAGAGCATACTGTTCGGAATTAACATTTCTCAAGAGGAGGTTCAAAATTGGGCTGATTCCATTGGTTGTGCAGTTGAAAGTTTCCCCTCTAACTATCTAGGCCTTCCTCTAGGTGCTAGTAAGAACTCATCAGTTATTTGGGAACCAATCGTGCAGAATTTTCACACAAAACTAGCAAGTTGGAAGGCAACTACTCTTTCTTTAGCTGGCAGATTGGTATTGATCAAATCGGCTTTGTGTTCACTGCCTACGTATTTCTTGTCAATGTTTAAGATTCCAGCTTCAATTCTTAAGCCTCTCAATTCAATTATGTCCAATTTTTTATGGGGAGGGGGCAATGGAATTAAGAAAATACACTGGGTTAGTTGGGCTGAAGTGTGTAAATCGAAGAATGAGGGAGGTTTGGGAGTCCAGAATCTCAATTCTATGAACAGAGCACTTCTAGGGAAATGGTCTTGGAGGTTTGCAAATGAGAGATGTTCTGTTTGGAGGAAATTTATTTGTAGTAAATATAACATTGATCCATCAAGGTTATTGTTTGATAGCAAGATTTTGCCTACTACTTCTTGGCAGTGGAGAACGGTGGTTAATAACTATTTCAAGCAAGACTCCTTTGGTTCTAAGTTTCGTAGTCTTTGTAGTTTTCATGTTGGTGATGGTAAGCATATCCATTTTTGGCAAGATATTTGGGCTGCGGATTATCCGTTACAGGTTCTTTTTCCAAGATTGTTTCTGATTTAAAACAAGTTGAACTATCAAAAACATGAGTGAGAAAAATAGAGAGAGAAGGAGAGCGAGTGCTTTTGGTCGTTCATTTTCCGGTGAGGAATTAACTGTTTTTGTTGGAAATCTTAGTTTGAGAGTTAATGGTAGACAGCAGGCTGTTTTGGAGAAATCACCAAGTCTGAGAGATGGCAGAACGTACAAGGAGGTTGTGAGTGTGGCTAGCAGTAGGAGTTTGGATCAACATCGAATGGAGAATAGGGGTGGCCAGAATATAGCAAATGGAGTGAGAAATGTATGGGATATGCAAATCCCATCAGAAGATTTTTGCTAGGTGAAACTCCTTAAAAGAGGTTATTAAAGATCCCTTTCAGCCTGATATGGTGGTGAGAGCTTTGGCAAAGGAGGGTTTCCAGGTTAAGATAGTAAGGTGGGGATATGTTAGAAATGCAAGTATTATTATGTTCAATACAAATGATGAGTTTTTAAAGGCGTGGTCAAGTCTTAGAGAGAAATTCCACTGCTGGTTTGATTGGGTAGATCCTTTGTTGAGTGAAGATGGAGTCCCTTTGGCCTATTGCTTGGTCGAGTTAGTTGGTTTACCGCTTCTTAGCTGGAGCGTACCTTTTCTGGAGAAGCTTGGAGGTAAGTGGGGAAAAGTCGTTAATATAATGGAGGAAACAATAAATAGAGATGACCTCTCTTCGGCCAGAATGCTGTTAAGGGTTGCAAGCCCTTTTGATGTTCAAGAATCTGTTATTGTAGGATCTTATGGAAGATCGTTTAAAGTTAAAATTAATGTGGGATCTAGCTCTAAATCTATTTCAGAAGCTTTTGGTGCCATGAGGCAGAATTCAGCATATGGCAACAGCAGTGACAATGGTGGAAATACAGAGAAGGAAGAAGACAATAGGGAGGACTTAGCAGAAGGGTTTAGGTCAAAGGTTGACACGTGGCTTCAAAATAGTCAAGATAGGGGGCTGTCAGCTGAAGGAGTTGGGTCAAAGTGGGACATGTGCGTTCACAAAAGTCAAGTTAGTGGGATGATGGTGGGTAGTGGGGAACATTTTCTGGAAAAAGATTCCCGTACACAATCCGACATTAATGGGATGTCAGACAATTTTGAATTTTGTTCAAGTCCTAATAGGGATTTTGCGGGTATTGGCCTGAGAAAGGTGGTGGATCAAAGTAGTTCAGCCCATTCAGACTCTAATTGGGAGTCTTATTCCCCAGTTACTAAATTAATTCCAGCTGGGCCTGCTGTGAAATTAAATTGGGATGGGACAGAATTTCATCCAAATGTTCGGTCTCCTCCTAAATCATTTGATGATGAAAGAGACATCTTTTCTGAGGACATTACTGAGGGTGTTCAGGCAGTTCAACTTCATGTCCCTGGAAAGCAAGCAGGAGGAAATCCGACACAGGAAGAAGTTTGTGAAAATAATGTTAAGAGTACTAAGAAGTGGAAGCCGGGATTTCCTGTTTCTAAATGTTTGTCTTTAAGAAGTGTTCTCGATGGTAGGAGAGGTAAATCTTGTTATGCAAGGGTATACAGAAGAACAAGGAATAGACGTATATGGCAGTGCTCGGGTTTGAAAGATGTTGTCACTTGTGCAGAGGGTAATCTGACTCAGAAAAAGAATGCCGCTGAGCTCACTATTTATCAAAAAATGTCTCCAATTTTCAGTGGAGGTGAACATGTCAAGGATATCTTCTGTTCTGCCAATTTACAGGATTCATCTTCGGCTCCTTTAGTCCGTAGTCAATTCTCAGAAAATGTGGCAGTAGCTTCTTCTTCCACTTCAGGGTCAAGTAAAGAATTTAGAAGGAAGAAAAGATATTTAATCTTTGAAGTCATTGACGGGGTTAATATCTATACAGTTACTTCATTCTCTTTTTCGAAGTTGTTGGAGGAAGCGTTAGCTACTTGGCAAGTTTGTCAAATGTTAGGGATTTCTTTTAACGAAGAGGAGGTTTTCATTGAACAAATATTAAGTCTGGAACAACATTCAGAGGTAGTAAGGGAGTCTTGACTGGTGGTCAAGATGTGCAGTCTGCAGTTTTGGTATTTTGTTGTTTGGGTGTTTATTATCTCTTATGAATAATTTAAGTATATTATCGTGGAACATAAGGGGCCTTGGAAGAAGAGAAAAATCTGTAGCAGTTGCAAGGCAAGTAAGGAAGTTGAAACCAGTTTTTTATTCATTCAAGAATCAAAGTTGGATCAAGTACATGTGTCGATTATTAGGAGGATAGGGGGTAATTTGCTAAAGGGAGTACTGGTGTCTCCAACTCAAGGATCGTCGGGGGGGTTGATCACCATGTGGAACGAAAGTGTGGTTCAAGTCTTTCACCAGCATGTTCACAGTAGGTTTTTGGCAGTAATGGGGAAATTGATGAATGGGCAAATGGAGTTTGTTTTTATAAATGTGTATGGGCCTTCTATCGAATCAGAAAAGGAAGAGTTTTATTGGGAGCTGCTGCAATTTGTAATTTCTCAGAATTTTCCAGTATGTATTGGGGGAGATTTCAATGCGTATATTGATACGGATGAAAAGCAAGGGAAATCACAAAATTGGAATTCAATCGATATTCTTAGATCCTTTGTGCAGCAAGCGAATCTCATTGATTTGCCTTTGTCAGGAGGTGCTTACACGTGGTGCAATAATAGAGAATCTTCAACTTGGGTGAGACTAGACCAGTTCTTAATTTGTGCCAGATTTCTTTACAGTTTTCCCAATGTTACTCAAAGTCTTCTTCCGAAGTCGATTTCAGATCACAATCCAGTTTTGTTAGAGGATGTTTCTATTAATTGGGGGCCTAAACCCTTTAGGTTCTTTAATTTTCTTGTAGAAGAACAAGGTTTTGATGAATTGGTAGAAGAATCATTGTCATTAGAGAAAAAGAAGAAGAATAGAGAGGGTATTTTCAAGTTGTTACAGGCTACAAAAAATAAAATCAAAATCTGGCCTGGTAGTTGTCACAGAGGACTGGGTGAATCCATCTCGCAGCTGGAATTTAAAATCAGTGCTTTGGACAGAAAATCTCAAGGTGGAATTTTGTCTTCAGGGGAGTGGAATCAGCTGATTGAGTGTAAAAAAGAGTTATATAGGCTGTTGAGAATCGAAGAGAGGATATGGTTTCAGAAGTCTAGAACAAGATGGATTAAAGATGGAGATAAAAATACAAGGTTCTTCCACCTTACGGCATTGAGGAGAAACAGAATCAATTCCATTCATTCATTGAAGTCTGAAGGGGGAGTTATTTTAGATCCAGAACAGATAAAAGAAACTGTTTTCAATTGTTTTAAGAAGGCATATAATGACAAATCAACTCTGGAAGTTGCAGGCTTTAATTTTGATTTTAAACAATTGACAACAGTTCAAAGAGATTGTCTTGAGGCAGAATTTTCGGAGCAAGAAGTTTGGCAAGCAATTGCTTCTTCTGAAAGTTCTAAAGCTCCTGTCCCGGATGGTTTTACCATGGGATTTTATAAGAAATTCTGGCTGAAACTGAAGGCCCGGATCATGGAGTTTATTTCTGATTTTTACAATGGAAAGGAATGGGTTCATGGGGTAAATCATGCATTTATTACCTTGATTCCTAAAAAAGATAATCCAGAGTGTATTGAAGATTACAGACCTATCAGCCTTGTGGGCAGCCTATATAAGATTCTTTCCAAAATTCTGTCTAAGAGACTTTCTTCATGTGTTAATGATATTGTAAGCCCAACTCAGTTTGCTTTTATTCTGAGGAGACAATTGTTGGATTGTGCTTGTTTAGCAAATGAAGGCATTGATTTTTGGAGGAAACAAGGGCTTAGAGGATTTATAGCTTAATGACGGGACTTCATCTTAATTTAGCTAAAAGCAAACTTTTTAGCATCAATGTGGAGGATGATATCATGGGAGATTGGGTTGCGGCTATTGGATGCTCTGTAGGTTCTTTTCCGACCGTTTACTTGGGACTTCCGTTAGGGGCAAAAAGAAATTGTGAGAAATTGTGGGAGCCGGTTCTTGATAATTTCCACAAGAAACTAGCGGGCTGGAAAGCCTCTTCCTTGTCATTGGCAGGTAGATTGGTGCTTATTAAGTCGGTTTTGTCATCTTTACTTGTTTTCTTTCTATCTTTTTTCAAGATGCCTTCTATTTGCAAGAAGTTAAATTCTTTGATGGCGGCTTTTTTATGGGGTGATGGGGCCGAGAAGAAGAAAATGCATTGGGTAAGTTGGGATAAGATTTGCAATCCTTCGAGTTGTGGAGGTTTGGGAGTTGCCGACTTGAAATATTCTAACCGAGCCTTGTTGGGAAAGTGGGTGTGGAAGTTTGCTACTGAAAAAAGTTCATTGTGGAAGCGTTTCATATGCACCAAACATGATGTTAGTTGCGATTCCATGGATATTACCAAAGTCCTTTCACATAAGGACTCTTGGATTTGGAGGGGAATTGTTAATAACTTCACCAAAGATGATGTTGTTGGAGGTTGCCTTAGAGCCCATGCGAAGTTACAAGTAGGGAATGGCAAATCAATCTCATTTTGGAATGATTCTTGGTTAGGGGATGTTCCTTTGAAAATGCTTTTCCCTAGGATTTTTTTCTCTTTCTCCAATCCAAGGGGGCAAGGTTGCTGATTTTGGGAGCTTTGATTCGAATGGATGGGAGTGGAATATTAGAACGAGGAGGAATCTCTGTGATTGGGAGGTGGTTCAATTGGTGGAGCTATTGGATAGACTCAAAGACATTAAATTAACTGAATCTTTGGAGGATTGTTTGCTATGGGATGGAGTGGGGGAGGAGTTGTTTTCGGTTAAAGCTTGTAGGAAGTCTTTTCCCTATTCTAATGAAAATTCATTTTTTGGAACAAATATGTTTGGATGGGTTTAGTTCCTCCAAGAGTTGAGGCTTTCCTTTGGCAAGTATCCCATAAAAAATTACCGGTGAGAGTGGAGTTGAAGAAACGGGGGGTTCCCTTAGGGGACGATATTTTATGTCCTCTTTGCAATCTTTGTGAAGAATCTGTTCAACATCTTTTTATTTCTTGTCAAGTTTCGTGGGAATTATGGAATAAAATTATCGGCTTTTGGGGTATTTCGTGTTTTTACCCTCTGATCCTCCCTCCCTCCTTAGCTCTTGGACATACTTGAAGCTTTATTCTGCCATGTGGAAGTTCATTCCAGCGGCAATCCTATGGTCTCTATGGAAATTTAGAAATGATATCATCTTTAATGGAGGTAAACTGGACAGTTTCGCTTTGTTTTTCACAGTTCGGCTAAGGTTAGCAAAATGGTTCTTAGCAAAGTATCCAAAAAGCTCTATTCAGGTGGATTCGTTAATTGTTGATCCTTAATTGGCAGACACTTGCTCAGTTATAAAAGATTTGAACAGGCCGGAGGTTAGTTGGAGTCCACCTCCAACTGATTTTTATAAAATGAATGTGGATGGAGTTGTTTGTACTGTTGGGAGATCTGCTGGAATTGGGGGTATTCTCAGAGACTGGAATCGGACAAAGTTGATTTCTTTTTCAGAAAATGTTGGTCATACTCCTATCATCGTAGCAGAGTTGAAAGCAATCAAGAAAGGAATAGATTTATTTGTTTCTTCAGAATGGGCACCAAAGGGAAGGTTAATTGTGGAATCTGATTGCAAACTAGCAGTGGAATGGTTGGAAGATCAAGCAATTGTCCCTACTTTTCTTACTAATCTAGTTAAGGAGATAGCTTCTACAATGTCTGCGCACGAGATTATTGTGAGGTGGATTCCGAGGTGCTGAAATTGCGAGGCTGATAAGTTAGCAAAGGAGGGGGATTGAGTGATGGGATTTGTTGTTTCAGAGAGTTGTGGCGTTCAGTAGTGATTGAAAGAAAAGTGGTCTTGGAGGTATTTTAAGGGATCATTCAGGTGCAATATTAGGATCTTTTCAGAACTCTGCGGGTTCGGGACCTCCAACATTGAAGGAACTTAAAGCTATTCAAAGGGATTTTTCTTACTTTGCCTCTATCCAAGGGATGGTTAAAGATCGACTGATTGTTGAGAGTGAAAACAGGGTAGCAGTAGACTGGATTAACAATGTTGATTTTTACCCAATTGTGTATTCTTCTATTGTTAGAGATATAGTTGTTAAACTTAGAATGTTTGGGGGTTATTAGATGGGTTGCAAGGACAGCTAATATGGATGCTGACGCTTTAGCAAAGGCTGGTATAGGCTGAATTTTATGTTATTAGCACGGTTCGTTTGGTTTTCTGGTTATTGTTCGGAAAGGGGTTGTTGCTATTTGTAAAGGTTATTTGTCTTATCTCTTGTTGGGGTGTAATTCTTATTTTCTTCAATGAAGTTTCAAAGGCACTCTTTTCCTCCTTCCGCTGATTAAGGAGCTTCACTACAAGCTCCATTAATCAAGAAGGAGGTTTTTAATGAGGCTTTCAAATCTTATCAAAAAAAAAGTATGAGAACCATAATCAGATGGAAGTGTTCTTGGAGGGTTAATATCCATTTAAACAATTCTACCAGAGTCAATGTTTCTTTCTTTGTTTTTCTTTTTTGGTTGGAAACATGTATTGCCTTGCAACAAAAGTACCTTTAATTTAATATCTGATATCAGTGAGGAACCAACTTCTTCTGAAATAGCAGCCTTGAAGTCTTCAAATGTCCATGAATAAACCATGGAAATCTGGGGGGAAGCCAAGAAGGTGTCAATAATGAAAATTCACCAAGCGACCTTCCAGGATAAATATAGTATCCTACCTTCCCCGACTTCATTGCATCTTTTATACGGGTTTTGTCTTCATGATACTATCAATGTACAAAAGAAACCATCAGAAACATGACACTCCTGCTTGAGCAAAAATATAATGGGAACATGAGAAAAATGGACAATTCTCACAAACATATCCGAGGCCCACACCTGTTTTTCTAATTCTTCAGCAACATCCTCGAACAAATCTTTTGGTGTTGAACCAGATGTGTTAGATGCAACAGCAAGATATTGAGGCAAATCTTTCACCTAGAAATCATAAAACAGAGACTCAGCAAAAGCTATTGCTGAAAAAAGCAAAACACATATTGATGCAAACCCACTCTTACAATAAAACAAGTTAAAATAGATAAAAACCTTCAAACAATAATCTCGCCAATAAGTTCTAGCCGTAAGGGTGCCATCAGCAACATGATCTTCCATTAGCTTACGAAATGCATCACGGTTTTTGCGCTCAGCACGTCTCAATTGTTCCTACATTTCACGGGAAGACAAAATGTTAAGAACACAAATTGGTAGCAAATTAATAATCATAGAAAGCATTTCTACCTTTTGCATCTTCTTTTTTTCCTCTTCTTCCTTCTCTAAGTCATGAATGTAGTCCTGGAATATGAGCAGCCGGTCAATTTTTTCAAGACGAGAGCATCTTTCATCATCCTCCAAACGATCTTGAACTTTCCTCCACTGGCTGTTTGACTGCAGATTGAAAGAAAAAATCAGGAAAATAAAAATCAAGCTAATGATCCTTACAAAGGAAACAATTAAAAATCTTCTTTATATATGTTTACCTTAATAAAATCACAAGATTCCAGAAATTTTCTATATTCTGCTATATTACGCCTTTTTTCCTCTGCAGCATGTTCCCTTTCCTGCATTAAATAAGAAAAGTAAAATTATGAACTTGAAGATGTTTTATTTATTTATTTTTTGCTTGGATATTTGCCAAGGAATATAGTGAAAGCACTACAATGCTTCGCATAAGACATGAAATATGCGAAAAGTAGAAAACAATTACCTTCCTCTCAAGATCCACTATATAGCTTTCAAAAAGATCTTCCCGATCTCTGGCACGTTCAACAGCCTTAAACCGCTCATCATTTTCAAACAAACTTTGAGCTTTGCTGAACAAGTAAAAGCTTAATTAGAATATTTTAACAGTTTTCACATTTAGAATAACAAGGAATCTCTTATTCCCATAATATACAGAAAAATAACAACCTCCATCTCATGGATGATGTTAGTTCCTTGGACTCCTGGGATGAACTCAAAGCACAAAGAAAGTATTAGGTCAAGTAAAAATGTATACAGGGACAAGAAAAAAAGATGATATTAGCTTCATGCAACTTACTTCCAGCATTTCTGTAAACTCCTCCCGAGCCTTCTTCTGTCTCATTCGCCTTTCCTCGGCTTCTAACTTTTTTCTTTGACCCAAATACTATTAATAATATTAATTTCATGTCAGAACAGAATAGGATAATGTTTGATTTAACTCCAAAACAATTATTTACAGAAGAATATATATTAAGTGTTGCAGAATCTCCAGCAGTGGGTTCTTCTGGAGGGCTATTGAGTTGCTGGGATGAGTGCTCTTTTGAAGTTGACAACCTTATTATAAACAGAAGGTTTATTGCAGTTTTTGGAAAGTTTCGTACTTCACAGTTTAGGTGTGGTTTTATTAATGTTTATGGGCCTAGTATTGAAGAAGAGAAAGCAAGCTTCTTTGAAGAGTTAACTGTTTTTATTTGTGGACTGAATATCGCTTTATGTGTGGGAGGTGATTTTAATGTGCATCTTTCTGAAGAAGAGAAGGTGGGGAGAGCTCCAAACAGAAGTTCAATAAGAATTTTCGGCCAATTTCTGCAACATACAGGGTTAATTGATTTACCTTTACATGGGGGCAGATTCACTTGGTGCAACAACCAGGATTTACCCACCTATGTTAGACTGGACAGGTTCCTCGTTGATATTCATTTCCTAGAAGCATTTCCTGATGTTACACAATACTTGTTGCCAAGGTCAGTGTCAGATCATAATGCTGTTTTTCTGGAGAATGAGGGGGTCAGTTGGGGGAAGAAACCTTTCAAACTCTTTAATTATTTGATGGAAGAGGACGGTTTCCAGAATTTAGTTGAGTCTACTGTTAAAGAATGCAAGTCTGATCAGAGGAAAGCAGGAATTTTATCTATCCTGAAATCTACTAAACTGTCGATCAAACAATGGGCGGGGAAGAGAGACCATTTTCCTTCTGTAGAGATCACAGATTTAGAAAAGAGGATTCACTTGGAAGAGGTGAACTTGCAGCAGAGGCAAGGTACATATGTTTGGGACAGAGGATCAGATTTGAATAATATGAGATCAGAATTATGGAGGTTGTATAAGATTGAAGAACAAATATGGTTTCAAAAATCGAGAGCTAGATGGGTGGAAGAAGGGGACCGCAATACAAGATTTTTTCATACTTGTGCGTTGACTAGGAGAAAGAGGAATTCCATGAATGTTTTGAATGTAAATGGAGAGATTACTCAAGATCCATCTGTCATCAAAGCTTGTGTCAAAGATCATTTTTTTGGAATTTACAACTCTAGTTCTACTTTGGAAGTAGAAGATATGAAGATGAATTTTTCAAAAATTTCAGTGGAGCAAAGTAATATTCTGGAAAAAGAATTCACGGAGGAAGAAATATGGGAGACTCTACAATCATGTGATAGCAACAAAGCTCCCGGCCCGGACGGTTTTAATATGGGCTTCTTCAAGAAATTTTGGGTTGTTCTTAAGGTTGATATTCTGAAATTCTTTCATAACTTTTATTTAGGGAAAGATTGGGAACATGGAGTAAATCATACTTTCATTACTCTTATCCCCAAGGTGGCCAATATTGGTGGATTAGATGACTATAGACCTATAAGCCTTGTAGGAGGTTTGTACAAGATCCTCTCAAAATGTCTTTCGAGGAGATTAAGGAATTGCATTTCTGATGTAAAGCCCTATGCAGTTTGCTTTCATTCCAGGTCGTCAAATTCTGGATTGTTCTCTTATAGCCAATGAGGGGATTGACTTTTGGAGGAAAAAGGGACTCAAAGGATGTGTGTTTAAAGTGGATTTTAGAAGGGCATACGACACTGTGGATTGGTCTATTCTTTTTAAGGTTATGGAGAAAATGGGTTTCGGTTCTAAATGGAGAAGTTGGATAAAACAATGTGTTACTACTGCTTCTATTTCAGTTTTGATAAATGGGGTACCTTCTCAGGAATTTCCTATGGCAAGGGGCCTCTGCCAGGGCTGTTCTCTTTCGCCCTTGCTTTTTAACTTAGTTGGGGAACTCCTAAATGTCTTGCTCTTAAAGGCTGTCTCAGATGGATTGTTTTCTGGTCTGCATATTGGGAGGAATGAGACTGCTTTCAACTTATCTCATCTGCAATTTGCAGACGACCTAATTATTTTCTGTGGGGCTTCGAAAATGGAGATTTCAAATGTTAAAAGGGTCTTAAGAGTGTTTGAAGTTATGTCTGGTCTGCAGTTGAATCTTAAGAAAAGCAAGTTATTTGGTGTTAATACGGCTACAGAGGAGGTGGAGGAGTGGGCGTCGTCTATTGGCTGTGCAGTGGGGAAATTTCCTTCTGATTATCTGGGCCTGCCACTTGGTGCAACACGGAATTCAACCTCTCTTTGGGATCCGGTTGTTTCAAAATTTAACAACAAACTAGCAGGTTGGAAAGCTGCCACCCTTTCCTTGGCAGGGAGATTAGTTTTGATTAAATCGGTTCTCTGTTCTCTTCCTACGTACTACTTGTCTATATTCAAAATTCCATCATCCGTAACTTCTAAACTCAAATCAATCATGTCTAAGTTCTTATGGGGAGGTGGAGCGGAGAAAAATAAGATTCATTGGGTTAGTTGGCCTAACGTGTGCAAGCCAAAGGAGGCTGGTGGTTTAGGAGTGTTAAATATTAGCAATATGAATAGAGCACTATTGGGGAAATGGTCTTGGAGATTTGCTAATGACAAGGATGCTGTTTGGAGGAGAATGATCTGTTCAAAATACAATATTGATCCTTTGTCCTTATTGTTCAATAGTAAAATCCCAGCTCAAGCTTCTTGGATTTGGAGCTCGGTGGTGAATTCTTATTTTAAAGAAGACTCTTTTGGTTGCCATTTCCGCAGCATGTTCAGACTAGAAGTTGGGAATGGTCAATTTATTCAGTTTTGGCAGGACAAATGGGCAATGGACTGCCTCTTAAGGTCTCTTTTCCGAGGCTGTTCACAATCTCTACAAACCAGTCTGGAAAACTGATTGAATTTGGCGAGTTCAGTTCTTTGGGATGGATTTGGAATATTCAGTTGAGGAGAAGCTTGGCCGATTGGGAATTTGAACAGTGGGCTAACCTGATGGCTATCATTTCTAATTTTTGTCTGTCTAAAGAGGCAATCGATGGTCTGATTTGGAAAGGAAACGGAACTGGTGTCTATTCTACTAATTCATGTGTGAAGACTTGCTCTTTGGCTCTGAAGGATGATTATGTTTGGAAGAAATTTGTGTGGAAAGGTCTGGTGCCACCAAGAGTCGAGGTATTCATGTGGCAGGTAGTTCTTCAAAAAACTGCCAGTGAGGTCTGAACTGGTTAAGAGAGGGGTTACGGGTATAACAGATCTTTCTTGTCCTCTATGTAATTTGGAGGTTGAATCTTCTTCTCATTTATTTTTTATCGTGTTCAGTTGTGTGGTCTCTTTGGAACAAATTTGTTCAGTATTGGAGTCTTTCTGTGGTTTTTCATACGAATGCGCAGAAGTTTCTTCAAGCCTGGGAAGATCTAAATCCTAGGTCTGCTATTTGGAAGTTTATTCCTGCCGTTGTTATTTGGACTGTTTGGAAAGTAAGAAATGATATTGTTTTTGATAGAGGGAAGTTTGACCATCTTAATCTATTTTTCCTAGCAAGAGTACGACTTGCATCTTGGTTCTTAGCTAAGTTTGCAGATCCTGTTATTTCAATGGATTCTCTAATCGGGGACCCTTCTCTTGGGGATTCATGCTTTCCTCTCAACAAATCGATTGTTACTACAATTCCTTGGTCCCCCCCTCCTAAGGGCTTTGTAAAATTGAATGTGGATGCAGCTACAAATTCTGATTGGAACAGCAATGGAGTTGCGGGTATTCTAAGAGATGAGGAAGGTCTTATTCTAGGATCTTTTAAGGAGGCCACGGGTCCGGGTCCACCTATTATGATGGAGCTAAGGGCTATCCAGAAGGGCTTAATTTTCTTTGATTCAGTGAAAGGAGGTATTAATGGTCGCTTGTTGTTAGAATCAGACTGCAAATTGGCAGTGGATTGGGTCAAGAATGGCACTTTCTGCCCTCAGATTTTTGTCATTCTTGTCAGGAACATAACAATTAAGCTTAAAGAAGTTGAGGGTGTTATTAGATGGGTTGCTCGGACAGCCAATATTGAGGCTGATGGGTTGGCTAAATCCGCCATTGGCTAATTCCAGTGTGTCTTAGGGGTATTTTATGTTGGGATTTTCAAATTGTTGTAAGGGGCTTATCTTCTTGTTGTAATCTTATGTATTTTCATTAATGAAGTTTAAGGCACTCTTTTCCTCCTTCCGCTGAAGAAGGAACTCATTATAAGTTCCTTATTCAAGAAGGGGGTTTTTAACGAGGCCTACAATTCCTATCAAAAAAAAAAAAAAAACAAACTTATAGCAATCCTATGACATGCACGACAAAATTATACCACATAGCTGCTACTGTAAGATTCCGGGGAAGATATACCTCATTAAAGGCTTGCTTCCGCTCACCAAGTGTCTTCAGAGCACCATACCTTTTGTCATTAATTATTTCTCTCATTGCCTAGAGAAAAATTTTAATCAGTAGAAATAAACATGCTGAGAGGATAAAGCTGGCAGGAAGGCAAAGGATCAAGGATACCTGCTCCCAAGTCCAATCAGATTGCACATTTGCAGATTCAAGGAGAAATTTGAAAGCATTTTTTGCCTCCTGAAAGAATGTGAGAAAATATATAAAAAAAATGCAAGAATTGCTATTGATCCAGTCGATTGCAGAATTTGCATCATAGTTCCCTGTTTTTAGGATTAAAAAAGAACAAAACTTAAGCTCAAGTGATAGGGGGAAAGAGAAGTGTCTAGAATGTTACCAGCTTATTTGCATATACAAAAGGCTCATCATCCAGAACTTTCTCTTCTACTGGAGTCACATTAACCTTTCCAGCAGTTGTCATCCCCTTTCTCGCTTCCTGCAGAAACAAACAACAAAATAAACCAAATATCTCACTTACAATGGTAAGTATAGTAACTTTTTTTCCTAAAACAGAAAAAAACTCTTTAAAAAGATTATTTTGTCTCTCTCAGAAATGGTTGATCGAAAGAAGAGAGCTGTGAAATCGAAGTGTTTCAAAGAGTATACCTCAATGTCTTGAACAGAAGCTCCATCTGTGTCTTGAGTTGATATAGGTTCCAAGCTTCTTCTGAAGTGAGGATGATGTGGTTAATTTCAACAACGTTATTGAAACCATGGAAAGATTAAATAAAAAAACAGTAGAAGCCCATACGTGACTGCTGTCTTAGCACTGACAGAAGGAACAGAAACAGTGGAACCTCCCGGGGGAACAGCAGGTAAAGGTGACACAGACACTGTCCCAGGTGCATCTGTAGTAGCAGATTGTGAAACAGGAACAGCTGTTGGTCCAGATACTGAATTGGGTGAAGAATTAACAATAGGCATAACTGAAACCAGGCTTGAATCCTGCAAAGTGTTGGAGATCAAAGAAATAGCTGTAGAAGGCATCTCAGTGGCAGAGACAACAGCAGCAACTGGAGCTTGAGGCACTCCTGAGCCTGATGGAGTTCCTTGGCTAGCTGCTGCCTGAGCTTGCTCACGTGCTAACTGGAATTAAAGATTAAAAATGATGTCAAAAGGGAAAAGCGCCAAGTAAAGAGACAAGTAATCATAAATCACAAGGACGAACCTTCAATTCCTCAGGTATTGTCCACTTAGACTGCTTTGTAACCTTGTTGTAATAATATCTACAAAAGCAATCTCTTGATCACATATCAATCATGAAAAAAATCTAACAGAATAAAAATGTGGATCATAATAAGACATTTTACAAAAATTTATAACAGAGTTCAAACATACTTTCTTCCTTCTGGAGTTGTGAATTCCTTCCAAACTGTGGATGCATCAGCTCTCTGTTTCAGAAAAAAGCAACAATTAAGCAATGAAGTGAAAGTAGTAATGAAAAAAGAAAGTTCAGAAAATATCATGATCATACAAAGGACTGGCAATATATAAGTCGATGTAATTTCCCCAAGGAAGTTGCTAACAATGAATCCATACATATGAAGATGGAGAAAATAGTTGCAAATGGAACAAATTATATCATGACCTTGTAAAGAAAGACTGTTAGTTTCAACCATTTGATCCCCAAAAAGGGAGAGGATGGGAGTATAAGCAACTGAAAAAGGTGAAAGAAGCTATTCTACTGTGGTCAGAGATAACGACACTCGTACACACAAAATGGTTTTGCTTGTAAAAGTCCAAACCCGAAAAGGTCAACAAAGGGTCAACTAAACAACTCAGTGGTTGCAAGGAGTTAGCCCATAGGCATGCCAAAGCTTTTGTTCACTAACTACTATGCTATAACCACACATTAGGCCAGGGATGAATGGAGGTAAAAGAACTTGTGCCTAAATTCTGCACCACGATCCTAATATCTAAATTATCTAACGTTATTCGAAACTAACTGGAGGAACGGTTATCTCTGGGGTGAGAATTTGGTACAAGTAACCTCCAAATTCTTCCTCAGTTGATGAATGTGCTAGATTTCATCTTGAAGTCTTAACTTGGAAACAAATAGCATTTTCCAAAATTAGAAGGTAACATATCTCATTTAGTTAAGCAAATAATAAAAACCCTTTTCCTTAAGGTGCAACAGTGAACCATGTCTAAATTGTACTTTTTGAATACAAATAGCAAAACCTTTCACTGGGCAAAATCTTGGAAGATGATTCCATGCCAAGTAAAAAACTTATTGTATTTTCCAGGAATCCTTAAACATCCTAGGCAACTCACATTACTACCTCCTCTGTGCCTCTTAATGGAGAACAAATTCTAGAGCCAATATGAAAAAAAATAAACATATACCGAACATTAAATTCCATTCCAAAGCAATCTGTACAGAATCATGGCAACAAGTATGAAAATAAAGATAACTGATAAATTACAGCAAGAGCCTTTGACCCAGCATCTCATACCTCCGAAATCAGTAGCCAATATGTACCTGTGGAACTCTTTACAAACCTTTTCAAACATATGCTTGCAACAATGAAACCATAACAGAGGAAAAATGGAACAAGTAACACCATTATCAAATGAGAAGAGGAGTGAACAACAATGAAGTTTTGATTGGATACAAATACAAAATGAATAGCATAGCAATTTCCTTTACATCAATCCAGAGTACTCATTACAGTACAAAGTATAAACCACATTTGTACAAAATAAGATAAATGATTAGATAAATACACGGACTACAAAAGAGACAAGAGAAGAAAGAAATATATAGAGGCAACTGAAGTGTAAAAGTATATTAAATAACTTTGTTAAGAGAGGGGAGGGGGAGATTATTACCATCCTAAGCTTCACTAACAGAGTAGGAAATGAAAAAAAAAATGAGAACAGTTAATCAAGACACCTAACTAGTATGTCTATATATCTAATCATTCCTCATAAAATGATTTCCCCATATAATAAACAAGATGTAAATAGCAAAATGTTGCCTGCCTTGAGAAAAGAGAAGGCCAGCCCTCAAAGTGACCATTTACAGCAGTCGTTAAATTTCTCCAACTTGCCATGACATCTACAAACCAATTCCAAAACACGCAAAAGAAAGAAGAATTCACATAAAACAAATTTGAAGAAGGTTAAGAATGGCCACAGTATGAGCATCCATTAAAGGGGGCAATTTACATAAATAACATATCACAACAAATTCAAGGTTAACAGATCATGGACCATAAAACTTTTAACAGAGGAAACAGCAACTAGATGATAATATCCCTCACCTCTAATGGTGTCATCAGTTCCAGAGGCTTTTCCCAACTAGATTGCCTTGTCTTTTTGTTGTAATAGTATCTGCAGACATGTCACAACAGTTAGACACAACAAACAAACACCAAATCTACCTCATCAAGTATAATTGTTCGAACAACTTTAAATCTAAATACATAGGAAAATGTGAGCAAAAATCACATTGATGAGGTACTATGTAAAGTTACCTTCTTCCATCAGCTGATGTATGCTCTTGCCAATCAGAAGATTGCAGAGTAAGGCTAGGAACATTTGCAACCTGGCATGCCAAAAGAGAAAAAACAAAAACAATGAGATTTAATAGAATAGAAAGATGAGTAAAGAAGAGACAAAAAATTACATTAGATAAAAAATATAATGGAAACTAAGTTCCAAGATGCTAACTGATTGAAGGTGTTATATACAATTTGGATCAGAAACAGTTTCTATTTTAAATGTATATACGGATCAGAAACAGTTTGAGATTGCACAATGTATATACAATTTCTATTTTAAATGCAATGTACAGAAATTAAGGAACTCCAGCTCATAGAAATACATAAAATTCACATGTACTCATTGAAGATAAAGTTCACTCCAACCTACCATCACAAAAACAATTTCTATACGACAACAAAAAAGAACAGATATATGTATTTACTATCCAATGATCAAATCTCAAGGAAAAGATGAAGATATGACAGGTTCAAGAGGGTTTAAGTATTATGTCTTTCCTTTTTAAAGTTGTCTTTTGGTTATTTATGTCCTTTTTCTTTCTTTTGATTCTCCTTGCACAGGCTTTTCTCAAGATTTATCAACTTTGGAAGCAACTTGAACTTCTTAGGAAAGTTCTCACCCAAAATTCAATTTCTTATTTAAAATAAGTTTCTGACAGGCACAAGAAGTCAACATTAAGGATTGTATAAAATATTTGAACTGAACACAAAAAATTACACATGGCATAACCTCGTTAAATTTCTGCTTAGTATACTATATTTATGTCTCAGAGAAGAGGCACTTACCACATCAGCAGAAGAAAGGGGAGGCTGTTGGCTAGTCTGCTGTATAGGTGTAGCAAGTGAAATACTCTGATTTCCGGATGACAACCAAGGTTGCATGGCAACTGGGGCAACAGATGCATGCACTTGAGATATAGGCTGAAACTGGGAAGGTGTGCTGACGTTCTGAGGCAGGCCAAAAGAAGATGGTACAAACTGGAAAACCATAAAATATCAGAGAAGGTGCAAAAAAATCCCTGATGTAAAGACAACAAAGGGGAAAATAGAAAAATAGGAACAAGGTCTTACACCATATGTTGAAGAGGGGGGCATTCCAGGGGCTCCTACACCAGGCATTTGACTATTCAAAGGGGGAGCAGATTGATGTGACTGTGGCGGTTCAGATGTAAGAGGCCTGTTTGTTTGACCATATGGTACTTGTACAGGCTGTTGTGAAGGTGTAGAAAGACCAGGTTGATTTGGCCGGGGTGGATACTGCTGCATTGGCTGAGAAAACTGCATCTGCAAATTTTGAACAGCTGGCATCCCAGCATTTGGAGAGGGAACTTGCCCAACAGGTCGGAATTGTTGGGAAGCAGCTGGAACAAAGTGCTGTCCTTGCTGCGCTGGGGCCACTGGTCGAAACTGTGATGGAAAATTTCACGCAATGCGTTTGATAAGTTGCTATCACAACATGAAAAAACAGCCACTTAAAAATGGTGCAATTACCTGTGAAGATAAGGGAGAGCCATAACTTTGAGGACCCATGGATCCAGCTGAAGGAGGCCAATGTGGCTGGGGAAGAAAAAGGATACCAAAAAAGTTCTAGACATCTTAGACATTCATCCAAAAACTAGAATAAAGGAGATTACTTATGTATGTGCTTTAGGCCAAAGCCAAAAACATCCATTTCTCATTAATATTAAAAACAATAATGCCAGTGCCACCACGAGAATCTAGCCAAAGTCAGAGCTAGTAATGGCTACATTCAAGTTATTTCTAACTATTTCCGAGAAGAAAAAAAAAAGAATGATAAAAAAGCCTTAGGTGATGTTCATAAATTTTGATAAATTTGGACGAGACCTGGCAACAGCAACCAAGATTTAACCCCAAAAGACAACATAATCTTAAACAAGAATCCAGATTATAGAAATAAAGAAAAAATAGAAAAGCTAAACCTACTCAGCAGGCTACCTGGGCACTAGATGGTTGAGAATTGTTGGCCATTCCAGAACATGTGCAAAGTTTACCTCAAATACCTGCAAAAAGAATCAATTAAGAAATATTATAAAAGACTTAAAAAATTGTTGAGAAAGCATCCGTGTCCCATTAGTTCCCGATATAATCAATCATTACCCGAGAATATCAGGAGTAAATTTACTCCAAATCAATCGCATAAAGTAACTGAAATAAAAAATTAAAATTGGATTATTAATACTTACGGATATCAAGCGTAGATGAAAGAGTTCCAATCTGCGGGATAGCTTAGATCTCAGTAATGAAATTTCAGGTGCTAGGGTTTAAGAGAGGAATAGGTTGAATTGGGGGGAGGGGACTAAAAATTTATTTTATATTTAATTTCAGGTTCTGCCACTTATACCCTTTGACGGGTACAGCTTAACTCGTCCAAGGTTCTCCGGGTCGGTTCCGAAACAAACCCACTCACTATTTCTTTCAGGTCAACTCATTTTCATTTCTAAAACTACACAAATGGTCATCTAATCTTGAAAAAAATTTCATTTTGTCACTCAACTATGAAATATTATTTTTTAATCACTAATATTATGACACTACATTTTTATCATCCATCCATTAGTTTTGCTATTACGTTACCTTTTTAAAAATTTTCACACATAAACATTTAATTTTCTAAATTAACTTTATTTCACTTTTCATCCGATTTCCATCATGAGACCATAACCTAATACGTCTTGCAACATCCTAATCAAGTCTGACTCGACGATCACTAGATCATGATGTCACAAGGGACCACCTAAGTGGCTAACCCAAAAATTTTCTTTTAAAGTAATTGAATGTTAATAGCCGATAAGATTTCCCATAGTAATAATAATGAGAGAAAAAACAACAACCGTGTTTACAAGTACGGGGGAGCTCCCAAAGTATCCAAAATAATACAATATTGAGTTAAATCAAGAGTTATGACTAAATATACAATGGTCCATAATAGTACATGCCCTCTAAAAGTGACTCAAGACATACTCTGAAATACTCGGATGCTCTGGTCTGCTGCACTGAAATGCCTGATGACGATAACTCCTTACGAATGATCTCCTAATCTACGCACGGAAACATATTCCGAACGCTGAGCTTGCGAGCTCAGTGCCTCACTAAAAATTGTACTATATTACATGCATTCATTAAATACGCTAGTTGGTGGCACATGTTTGAGGGCATAAAAGATATTGATCTATTATAGTATGACGAACATCATGGTGTGGTTGAGGGATTCTATATCTCGGAGCTCGCAAACCCATCTAGTCAGCTTGAATACCCGAAAGTACTCTGGGTGAGATCTGAAATTTGCATCGAAAACATACACCCAACCAACTCACTCTATCGAGTCTTGGGGCATCTGCGCCCAGCTGGCGATAAGTGCCTTGGCACTGACTGAGATATCCGATTGTACGACTGTATCTGTTAAGTGACTCGGGTGTCCTGATTGTGTCATGAGTGTCAAACAAGGCTACTGTTATTTGATCCTAGCTATTGTTGTTTCTAACTATTCTAAGTTAATTTAACGTTCTCACTTATAGTTTTATTTCGTAGCATTCTGGTATGAATGAGACCCCTACAACCTACTCCTTAATTTCTTGGTTCTCTACCCAAAAATGTCTGTGGGTACCGATACTAAGCCTTCAGTATCGGTACTGACCCCTGGGTATCGATACTATTTTAAGCTTTGATGATTTGATAATTGACTAAGTATCGATACTCCTAGGCAGAGTATCGGTACCAACATCGATGATGTAATACCCCAAATTTTGATAAGTGACTAAAATGTAAAATTTGAAAGCTTGAGGGCTAAAGTATAAAGTTTATAAAAGTTTAGGGACAAAAAATATACTTTTGAAAAGTTATAGATTTTAGCCGTAAATGAACAGTTTGGCCTAAAACAATGATTTTTGTGGGAATCAGATTTTCGGCATGGAATTTGTGTTAAAAGCTATAAAGTGATAAAGTTCGATATTGAAATCGGATAATCGAATCAAACCATAATTTTATGAATATTTTAAATATATTATAAAATGGTTGGAAATATTATTTCCACGGTTTAAATCAAAGAAATTTGGCTCAGAACAGTGTAATTTTTCAGATTTGATTGAACAGTGTAATTTTAGTGACTAAAATGCAATTTTCAAAAATTTCATGGCCAAAATGAAAAGTTAAAGTCGAGTTGATTCATCTTTGACCAATAATATTTTAATGGAGAATATGACAATGGCATTTGGTAAATTTTAAGATTCATTAATGGCAAAATGGAAATTCTCAAGAATTGAATTTTAAAATTCAATTAAATTGGTTAAATTGCCATGTGTATTAGAAAATTTTAGAGTTCTTCTTCCTCTATCTGGTGCTGTCGTGAACCCCTTTCAAGGTAAGAAAAATTTTCTTTTCATTTTTTAGCTATTTTAGTAAGATTTTGGAAAAGTTGTGAAATAGAAAAATGTTCTACATCAAATTATCTAACATTTGGTATAAGAAACTCATGCTAAACATGCTTGGATGTTGAGATTTGGTGATTAGGGTGTATAAAGGGTTTATGGATTTTGAAGATTTAATGAAATATTTTTATGTTTTTTATGTAAATGATTAATCATAAGGCATGTATGATGATTAAAATTAATTGTACAAACTTATATGATATTCGGCCATGCTAAGGTTTTAGAGAGTGATTGGATTTTAATGTAATTTGATGTTATTGTGATTAGAATAACATGAATTTGATGCTAGGAAGTTGAATTCATGCTTGAAATTGAATGGAAATCAAGTTTATTTGTTCTTGTGGTGTTCGACCATATGTAGAAATTAGGGGAAAATCATGGAAAAATTTCCTATGGTCTAGAATTGATATTAGAAGTGTTATATGTGACTTGGAGATCAATTTGGAGCCTTGAGTTAGCAAAAGGGTTAATATACAAGTTTTGAGAATTGTAGGATATTATTGCAAGAATGTAATATTTGAAGGATTAATGCTAATTTTTTATAGTTAAAAATGTTGGAAATTTAAGTTGGAAAGTTTTTTGGAACCAAATTTCAAATTTGGTAAAATTTGAGGGAGGAATTCGAAAAGTCTCAATATTATGGGGACTTGATTTTAAGTTTATTAAATGTGAAAGTATCATTTGAGTAAATTATTGTAATGCTAGAAATTTATATAATATTATGATACTTGGGTTTAATTCTTAAGTTGAGATTTAATTTCAAGTTTATCAAGTTGTGTGGTTGAGTTTGGAAAGTCTAAGAAAGTTTAGGATGAAATTGCAAGCTTTTGAATGTTTAAGTGTTGATTTGAATATTTTATTGAGGTGTTGGAAATTTTATGTGATTAATATGAAATGATCATAATGGTGAAGGGCCATTATGGATTAAATAGAAAAGTTTATATGAATTCTAAAAAGAATTCATAATTATTGGTTAGATTATGAAATTAGTAAAAGTTGGAGAGTTAATAGTAAAACAAAATATTCATGGATTTGAAGGAATATTTTGAGAAGTTTGAAATTACGATGGAAGTACGATTCAATTTTATATCAATTTAAGTGTCGATTTTATTTTTATCAAATTTTATATTTAAGCTTAAATTATGTGGGTTCAATCTAATATAAAGCTTGAATATTTTATGATGTTATATGACGTTGTCAGACTACGGTAAATTTAGTGATCCAAGTAACTCAAAAGGGAAGGAAAAGACGTGGAATTAGAAGATTATCGTGGAGAAGATTTGATAATGAGGCAAAGGTGAGTGCATTTCATTTTAATATATGTTTCAACCAAACATTGGCTTGCGATGAGCCAGTGTTGAAGTTAACTAAGAAGTGACTCCTAGTGTTATGTGAAGTATGATTCAAGGTTATATGTTTATTTAATAAGCCAATAGAACTAGTGAATAAGTCAAGAACACTAGTTGGTAAAATATGCTTAGAAATTATGTTTTGAACAGTAAGTTTAGAAAATCATCATACAAAAATGATTAGAGGATGAATCTTATACCATTGGATTTTTCTGCTAGTCTAGTTTTGTTTAGAACAAACAGAAACTGATTTTGAGAAGCATACAAAAAAATATGAATTTTTAATCAGTGATAAGTCAGAAAATAGGACGACAGATTCTGTCCAAAACAGATTTTGTCACTCAACTTTGAAAATTTTCTATAAATTGTACAAGTGGAACTAGACGAAGTGCCTTATATGGTTAGATTTGTATTCGAGTCTAGTTTTCAGTAGTGCAAATGGAATAATTTTTCAATATATATATTAATATAGAATAATACTTCTTTGAAAGTAGTACAAACTGTCAAAATATGAAATTTCAATAAATTGTGTGGTGGAAGCAATTTTTAAAGTTTAATGAGGCTTATATTTGATTTATAAGTAAATTGTTCAAATGAGTCTAGTTTACTTATTTAATTTCTTTGATCGAAGATGACTTGCGATAAGTAAACCTCATTTTATTTTCCAGTATGATTTATAAATTTTTAATAATAATATTTCTATAATATTTTTCATCAAGTTTTATGAATGATTTTGGGTAAGAACTTTCCAAGTATGATATTTATGATGATGAATTCTAAATGTTTACAGTTATCATATACTTAAAATTATCAGATGATTTTTAGTTATCAGATATTTACTGTTATCAGATGATTTTCAGTAATCAGATATTTACAGATATCATATGATTAGAGTTATTATATATTTACAAATATCAAATATTTTACAGTTATCACACACAAATTAATAAATAATTTTATGATTATACGTATAAGCTCATTGTATGTTGCATTGAGAGTCATAGGTACATTTGGTATGCCATTTAGTGAGTACTTTTCAATTATCAGTTATCAGTTCAGCTTTGGTACATTCATGTACAGATGTTCAACATCGTTGGTGCTCAGGTTATGATTGCACTAAAGTGCATCATATCATAGTTTCAGTTATGATTTGGCACCGTGTTGTGCCTAGTACGCACATTAAACTCACGTATCTTATATTCTCTTACATATACATTAAGTTATAACAGTAAGTGTGGAAATTATGAGATTATATAAAATAAAAGAACATAGATTTGAAAAGAAAGTTATGAAATATGTTTGAAGGAAAAGAAAAATGTTATTTATGATATTTAATGATGACTTACATGATTTTTGATAAAATCATGAGATGATGATTTTCAAGTTTTCAGAAGGAAAACAACCTTACTAGCCCAGTTTGAAGTTTTAATTATTTTTTATTTAAATTTTCAGTTTATTGTTTATATTTTATGAATTTTACGTTTAAGTTATACTTCTGTCTCACTAAATTTTACTTAGCGCATGATGATTTTCATGC